TCTCCAAATCTGTTCTGATGAAGAAACAAACTCATCTACATCTTGGATTGCCTGAGGGTGAGTAGATTTTCAGTAAATTTTCATTTTTGGGTGAACTATTCCTATAATGATAGACCACAACCTCCTACTCAGACCTCTAACTTCTCCCATCCCAAAAACTTTAAACAATGTGCAAAAAAATATCACTCATGGGTCGTGTTCTCAAAATACAATGGTTGGCAATGAAGGTGCAATTATAAGTTGACATTCTTAAATTACTAAAGCGAAAATAAAAGAAATAGAAATATAAAAAAATAATAAAAATGACAAGTATATAAAAATGACTAAAACTAAAATTGAAAATGTAAAAATAAAAACTACTTCAAAATGTAAACAAATAATATAAAAGTGCATAGATAATAAGGCTGGGCGATATGTCAAAAATATCTTGTCGATAATCGCCTTAAAAATATCGCAATATCCGATAATATCGTCTACCTAAGCCCCACCTCCACCACGCCCCGCCCCCGCCGACATTTTTGCCGACATGCACCATAAACACACACCATGTTCAGTTTGGTTTTACTTTACTTAGTTTGCGCTTAAACTAACAGAAAACATTAGCTTTGCTGATATGTTGGTGTTGCTAATAATTTCCACTCTGTTCTTATCAAATTTGTGTTTGAAATGAATTTTGTTTTGTGAGGAGAACTGTTGAGGAAAAATAATAGAACCCAATTTTAAGTTCATCATGGTGAAGTTGGACATCCAGCCGGTGATTGTAAGAATGATAAATGCATGTTTATGTCATATAGTAATGTCTTGAATAAATATGTCTATTTTCCAATGTTTCTCTTTCTTTTTGGCATTATCGCCCATGTAGACCACATTTCATGATGGTAAGTTTAATTTCCTTGATTATAACAATTATAGCACATATAGTACTATAATGTCTTCAGCCGTTTGCAACAAAACTTTATAGTTTTGTTGCAAATGAATTAAGAATTTATATTGCTATATCTCAGCTTAATTAAACATAATTATACTGTATACGGTTTAAAAAAATCTGTAAAAATAGGAATTTGCGTATTTTAATTATACCCGTCATGTTTGTGGTTTATCATCATTATACAGTCTGTTCAAATAAATATTCAGAAACACATGCAGTGCTACTTTTTTCTTTTTTCTGTTTAACTTTTATTAAACTGCAGCTCAAAATAGAATAGGCCTATACCCTAAATAAGGATAAATTATATTGGAACGCATCTCCAAAATAATCACATACACAGATGCACGTTGCCATTAACAGTAGTCAGCGCCGAACAACAGGCAAATAAAATATAAACTGAGGTTACAAAAGTGATTCAGTCAAGATCAGTGCGGGATTTTCGTTTATTTTGTTCTTTGATTAACATTATAATGAATGGCGGCAGCGGCGCTGTCAATGCACGGATCCAATACACCCTTGTTTTCTTTCTCAACCCTTAAGTTTACTTAAGAAATAACCGATTGTATTTATGGGATATTTTGATATAATTCTGTGTGTATTTGTCCATTCTAATGTGTAAGAATGTGAGAAAGAGAGCTCAGTCCAGTGTTCACGTAAGAGGCGGCTTTTGTGCGCGCGCTTTGTGTGTGTGAGTGTGCACTGCGCAGTGCGGAAAACAGCGCACGAGTGCAGAAGTAAGTTCTATTTCGTCTTCTTGCAGTTGAATCTTTTGAAATCACAATAAATGCGCATACAGGAATCAAGAAGCAGAATCGAAATCTAATTTTATAACAAGTAATTCGATTCCTGACCTTACGCATCTGATCCGATTTCCAAAATTGGAATAGCTTTTCGATTCCCAACCCTCCTACTAAATTATTTAATTCTTGCATGCAAAAAAACCTGTATGGTGACTATGGGGCTATGTAAAATATTTTTTGCAACTTACTAGGTTTATCATTTGTCATTTTTTTCCGATAATGTCAATAATCGTCTGTTACCTGACTGTTGACATTGACATTGCGATACTTACGAGACTTCGTCGATATATGATAATATCGTCATAGCCCTAATAGATAATACTAAAAGGTCATATATCACAGGTCAGTGATATAACTAATAGCTTTAAAAATATATTTATGTATAAATAAATAATCCACTGTATAATAAAACAATTTATTTAACATAAATTGTAAACATAAATTGTATATAATAGATTTATATAAAATAATGTATAAAATGTATAAAGGATAAAATATTACTTTTAAATAAAATCTTATAAAATAAAATATTTTTAAATAAAAAATATGAATTTAATAAAAAATTAAATCTTGAAATTAAATATATGTTATACACACACACACACACGTGTGTGTGTATATATATATAACGTATAAATAATTAATCAATCTTATTAAATATATTATTAAAAATGTGCCTTGATTTTATATTTGATTTTTAATGTCACTACATCTTGTGTCTTTAAGACATGTTTCTGACATTTATTTTAATACAAAAAAACTAAATACATTAATACATAAAAAAATCAATTTTTGCTAGTTTAAATTTATTATAACCAAACTATTATACTATTAAAAGAATTGCTCTAAGTGTAATGACACTTTCTTTAGGAATGCTAACAACAATTTTCACAGTGTTTCTTAATTTTATGTTGCTAATAAAACCATGGCAAATATACTGTGAAATGTGCAAAAACTGTGTGTGTCTGTGTACCTGGGCAGTATTCTGTCAGGGAATCTGTGGGTGTGGAACTGAGTGGCCAGTCCAGGTTTCCTGAGCTGTTCAAACAGCCCAATCAGATTATGGGAATACAACTGAAACGTCTTCCCTTTAAACGAGAGATAACACACATCACATGCGTACCATACACAGTGTATGACTACACACAGGATATCCAACGTATGACACAATTCATATAGTTTGTGCTGATGAGAATGGAAAATGATGCCCCGCAGAAATGAATAGTCATTACTCCCAGCACAAAGAAAAGCTGAGCTGTGTAGTTATGCAAGTTGAATCAAAATCAGATTAAGAATGAGGCCAGAAAGATGATGTGATATTAGCTGTGTGCGTGTGGGCCTAGAGGACAGAGGATTGACATCTTAACTTCTGATTATGGTGATTTAGGCATTAGAAGAGCCAGCAAGCAGTGAAATCAGCCGTGAACAGAGAGAAACAGACAGTCAGACAGACAGGGATTATGTAGGTACTGCGGAGAATCTCAGTAACAGAAAGACAGAAGAGCCGCTCCCACATCACTCTCACTCACCTGATAATGACATCAGATTATTATTGATTATGTACAGCCACGTGCATCGCCGTGGAAACAACTGAAACGCATCAAAACAGCAGGTGATGAGTTCATGGACCTGTTGTCTATTCAAGGTCAAGGGTAAAGGTGAAAGTCAGAGTTTAGGCTGTACCTGCTCCATGCTGGCTTCATGCAGCTCATTTAGGTTCAGAGTGTAGATTCCGTCTTCAGTGCCAAATATCAGATACTGGTCTAAAAACAACAACAACCAAAAGTAGTAGTGTTTACAGGCTGATATTAAAGAATCCAGAGTTTCCACAAAAAAAAAAAATACTAAGCAGGACAACTGCTTTCAAATAGGGATGCTCATTTTAACCTGTTAACCGTTAACCGACCGTAAGAATTTTGACTGATTAATACAATCAATTAAATGGCTTAAAAAGTCATGTATTTCTTTTTTTTTTCAGTAATTTTTCTAAATATTTTAAAAGGTTTGCTTCATGGTTAAAATACGCTATGCGTATTAAAAAGAAAAAAAAAAAAAAAAAAAGCGAAATGTTTACAAACATTATAATAAACACTGTAAACATAGCTAGGCTACTTTAGTTCCCCTCACTCCACAACAAATCCTTTCAATTTAACAGTATTTATAAAAGAACAAGAATTAAAAATATAAAAAGCTATAGCTATATAAGCGACAAGCCAAAACAAATTCATTTAGGACATAAAAGTCGACTTAAAAAAAATCAGAAGTCGTTCAACCCCTAGTGTGCGCATGCGGTGCCGGCGCAATCATTTGAATTTTTTCCTTCTAACAGTGGAAGCAACTAAGATACTCGGAATTGTAAAAGGTTTGCTTTTATTTGTGTACATTCACAATAAAAACAAATCTTTGTGCTTTTGTAAAATAGGCCTAAATAAAAATAGGATGCCGCTTTCTGCCGTCTTGGTTTCCTTTCGCACAGCACAAAAATGAACCGAAACTCTGCATACTAGCCTTTGTTGCACAGTTTTTCTTTCGTTTTCTTAATTTATTATTTAAGTAAAAATATATTTCTCGTATAGGCCTATTTATTTGTTACATATATATATATATATATGTAACCTAGCTTTATTATGTTTTTCTCCGATCGCAGAAGCGCTGCAGGTGCGTGATGTGATATGATGACCATGTGAATCCTCATGTTCTGTTGTTTGCTACTTTTTGCGCATGTAAAATTAATCCCCGAAAAACAAATGTTAGTATGGGTCACAGACACTTATCCTTTCTAATTTAATTCAATTCTAATTTAAAATAATCTTGTCGGTTAACGGTTAATAATCAGTTAACGAGCATCGGTTGTCGGTTAGGAGAAATAACCGAAATGAACATCCCTACTTTCAACACCGATCATATTAAGAATCAGCATATCAGAATGATTTCTGAAGGATCATGTGACTCTGAAGACTGGAGTAATGACGCTGAAAATTCAGCTTTGCCATCACAACAAGAAATTACATTATAAAAATACATTAAAACACTAAAAAGTTATTTTAAATTTGAGCAATATTTTAAAATATTACTGCTTTACTGTATTTTTGATCAAAATAAATGCAGCATTGGTGAGGATTAGAGACTTACACTATACATAAAGAAGACACTAAAAACACTACAAAAATCTTACCCATTAAAAATTGACCCCAGACTTTTTATTTACTTATACAAAATAGTATCAAATTTAATATCAGACAGACATCCATCGGTTATCGGCACTTTACCTTTTGTATCTGGGTGAATCCATGAAGTGGCACAGTTAATTTTAAGAGGACAACCATCAAAAACCTTTGAGAAACAAGCTCCCATCTGCAGACACGCAGAGAGGTAATATGTAAGCTTATGACAGTTAGAAAATACAGAATTAAAATAAAGGACTGCGCAAATAGCTGTTGAATAGTGAGATTGGAAGATATTAGCATTTAGCACAGTGTAAGTGATGTGTGATGATGGCACTCACCAGGACTTTGGGAGTGGGCGGCAGGCCGTTAATAGCAGGTTTCTATAAAAAAAAAACAGAAAAATGAGTAGAGCGCAACATTCTTTTCATGCGTCACACACGTCTCGGCAGGACACATACCCACACACACACTTACAGGAAAATCTTTTCTCTCTTTCCTCTGGGGACGGCCGGGAGGTGATTTTGAAACATCTCCATTTACACTTTCGTCTGAGTCTTCCTCTATAGAAAGTAAAAGAGAGAAATTTGAAATATTCAGTAATTTATTATGATTTTGTAAAATATGTCATTCTGATTGGTCAACTTCAGTGGTCAAATATTTTTGTATATTTCACCAAATCAGCAATATACACCAATTTCACCAGTTGGTGAGCATTATAGACTTCTATATGAGAGTGGTACATGAACAGTATCTGTGTATAAACATGATTTGGAGAATAAGCGTGTGGCTTACCGTGGTCGGCGGTGTGTGAGAGCAGCCCTGGGCTGCTGACGCTCACAGACATGTAGTCTGAGTGGATGTGCTCTGCGTTACTTCCTCTCTCAGGTGTGCTCTGTCTGCGAGACACTGGTACAGGCCCGTTATCAGAGCCCGCGAACCTCCGCACCGTCTGAGCCCCGTCGCTCAAACCAAACTCATCGGACACACTGCTAGACCGAGCCTGAGAGGGCTGATAAGAATAAGAATTAAAAAAAACACACCAATAAAAAAAATTTAATATAGACATTTGTACACTTGTACACACACTCACAGTTACCTTAGGAGGAAGTGGTGGTGGCACTCCCTGTTTAAGAGTTGAACTGAGAGGGGGGAGATGAAACAGAGTAAAAAAGAATAGAATGACTTAACTGGTTTTTGTTTGTGATTAATTTTGCAATTTTCACAGCACATATTTTTTCCATGCTGATTTTACAGAATATGATACCTTACAAGCAAGCCCCAGAAGAATATAAAGTCTTTAAGATAATGTTTAAAGTTTAAGAGTAGCCACACTTACAGATCAACATCCTCAAAAGCATCTTCTAATGGAGCCAAGTGCCCTCTTCAGAGACAGACAGAGAGAGAAATGGACAGAAAGAGACAATATTAATGAGTTAATTAGTTACTTAGAAACGGAATAATGGAACAAAATCTGTTCAACATATTTCACATTTTTTACCAAATGTGATACCACATTTTGCATTTTACCATTTATATTGCAATGATTTACAACATACATTAATTTTTACTAATTTCCTTTAAAACTAAAAGCCAGTTTTGGGCTTTTATTTTTGGGCGCCAATTTGGGCTCTTGACGAGAGTTAATTTTAAACCCTGCATGGAAGTTTCCTTGGTTCTGTTAAATAACAGCTACACAAACCAATTCTTTACCGTATAAACAACTCCTCTTCAACGCTCTTCAGAAGACTCCTTCAGTGGAGGAGTGCACAAAAGGGAAAAGCAAAGGATAACGGGGAAAAGAAAGAACACAACAGAACAGTCAAAGTAGAGGGAATGCAAGCAGAGCTCATGCGAGATTCTGCAGAAAGAAGGAAGTGCGTAGACTTGTGGGGACGTCAGAGAAACGATGCAGACAGAACAGGGAAATGACTGCTTGCGGCGTTTTCATGCGGGCGGCAGTAGCAGGAATCAAATCGTTCATAAAGTCACAAAGAAAACATTTAATGGTTACCTGGAGGTGATGGGACCCTCTGTGAATAGGCTCCAGGGGGAGGCGAAATCATTGTCCTTAGTTACATCCTGCAAAGAAAGAACCATACATACACACTCCCTTTTAAAAACATGCAAGTCAGGTTTCATTGCATACCTGTTCTGGGCAACTAGTCCATTTACTCATGCAAATATTTGCATGAAAAATGTTTGGTTTTAAGCTTATCAAACAATGACACTAATAATCTTATTGAACTCTATGTTTATTCTGTAGTGTGTGTGTCTGTTTGATTAATATTAGTGATGTATTGACAATCTGGACTAGCCAATGCTTCTCTCACCATCTCAGCACTTGCTTCAGTCTCCTTCCTCATGGGGGGCTCAAACTGAAGCCTATCAACTGAAATACAGAGACGAGAGAAAACGTATTACTGCACTTCTTAACCTAGCATGCCATAGACATTGCACTCTGCGATATTTTTAACATTCTGTTCAACACTACTGGGTTGCTTTGTACAAAAATTGTGACAAAGTTCAAGCTGAAGTCTACACTTGTAGTACCACATCTCCACCACAGGGGGGCTCAAGACTATGCCTTTCTATCTGAACTAATAATACGAGCTAAAACTCTTCAAGAGCAGAGTAAGACCAATAGATGTCACTTATCATGAATGTGGTCTGGAGTGTGTGGTGGTACATCACGTTCATGAGTAAAGGTCAAACACATGTTGAATTAGCTATCTAAACAAGGACATATGATAGACTTCTACAAGCATAACCCACATCCTAACCATAAATGAAAACTTTGCATTGTTAGAATAAAAAACAAAACAAAAACATTTTTCCAAATGAGGACATCCTTGAATGTCCCCAATGGGAGACTGTTTCATATTAAACTCACGTTTAGATTAATTTTCTATACAAACTATACAAATTATAGAGTAGCAACGTATGTATGCCATTTTAAGTCTTTAACCATCACAAATTCTCATCTGACAAATACAACATATCAGTTACACAAATCTTTAACCAGAGGCACCAGGCTCCTCATTTTATGCCATGTGTCACAGCCTTACTCTGTTTGGATCCCAATGAGTAACTTTTAGTAAAGCTATTACTTTACTTTGATGGTTAAGATGACCAGTATTATATAATGAAATGTAAGCTTTCTAGCTAGGCAGTAAATTGAGCACACAAAATACATTCTGTCAGCCAGTGGAACATTTTTGAGGTTCATTGGGGATAGGCAAGACAGGGAGACACTCATAATCACGCCTGTGATTGACGTACAGTTGATCTGAGACTGGGTCTTTTCAGCACGAGAGTTCCTGCTGTGGGACGAGCGGATGGTGTGGCGCTCTGAAAGCGGCTGCGGACCAGAGAAAGAATCATAGTAAAACTATGTATACCACCACAGACAATCGTTTGCAAACATTTACCATTTAGTCATGCGCACTCACACGCATACACTGAAACTCTCACACACTAACACAGAGTACATTTACATACTAACTTGCCATCTCTTTCATACATGCACATCACACAAACACAAAAGTCACATGAGTTACCTCCAAGTCATCTTCATCTCCCTGGCTGAAGTGAGATTGATGATTATCTGGGTTGTTCATCTTATCAAGTAGCTCTAAAGCTAACCGTCGAGTCAAACCTGTCTGAGCCACAAATAAGTGCTGCATGCAAACACAGAGACAACGTAGTGTAAGTGGTTGCTTGTGATGTAGCCTATGTAACATTCAGACAAAAATAACAGAATAGAGGAATGTCATCAAGAAAATAATTAATATTGACGGAATGGACACAGGTGTGGGTTGAACACATTTTTAATATTACACATCTATGCATATTTTCGATTGTGATATTCTTACAGCAGCATACTGCGATTTCGAATTGTTTTCTAATTGAAAAAGTTATTTCAAATTGTAATTATTCAAAACATTACCGATTTTACTTAATTTTTAATCAAATAAATGCAGCTTTGGTAAGCATAAGATACTTCTTTCAAGATACGGTACTGAGTTCAAGTGCACAATTCTCTGTTACATGAGTTTATATTTCATTGCATGTGCACATAAACTTCCACTGAATGAGTTAAAGAGCTGTACTGTGAGGAATCATTAACAGATAAAATGGAGATGTAGAGAGGACATTTTTACTGAGAGCAGCTTAAAGAGCTGCACTGTGTGAAATCATAAACAGATAAAATAGACAAAGAGAGGACATTTTTACCGAGAGCAGCTTCTCAGCTGTTGGCCTCTTCTTTGGGTTTTTTGTGAGGGAAATTTTAATAAAATTATGGAAGGCTGTAGACCTGCGGAAAAGCAAGACAGTTAAGACAGAAAGGGAAAGAAACAGGGACTGGTGATTTTATTTGTAAAACACTCATTCAGAACACACTCTACATTTCTCTATAACTCAAATATGCAAACATACACATACAAACAGGTCAGAGAGACTCACCATTTGGTCTTGTCCTTTAGCTTGGGTGGCTGAAAGTTGCTTTTAGACATCAGAAATAAAGCCCTGGACAAGTAAGAAAGAAGGAGATCACAGAAAGATACAAATCTCTGAGCAATTATATGAGAATTTGGTGGTAGTCTAATGGTTAATTATCTTGGCTCCAAACAAAGAGGATTTTTGCACATAATTAAGTTATTAAGATTCACTATAACTCTGGGCCCAGAGCAAATGCCTTGGTTAAAAACATGTCTGCTCATTGGCAAGAAGTGTGTGTTTATACCTCATGGGATGGAGGTCAAACATGGGAGGCTGTAGTTCTGCCAGTTCTATGGATGTGATTCCAACAGCCCAGATATCACACAGATGATTATAACCTCCATTCTTCTCCACTGCCGCCACCTCTGGAGCCATCCTATAAACACAAACACAGAGCAGACAAGACACATAAACTAATGTTCAGAAGTGTTTTCTTAAAAAAAAAAAAAAAAAAATAGAATGCCTTTATTTTGCAAGGAAGGTTTACAATGTTGTTAATCATAGATGTTTCTTGAGCACCTAATAAGCATCTTAGAATGATCATGTGACACAGGAACCATCACAGGAGTAAATTACATTTTCAATTATATTAAGATAGAAAATAGGTATTTTACTTGCAATAATATTTCACAGAATTTCTGTTTTAAGCTGTATTTTAATCCAATAATTACAGCCTTGGTGAGCTTAGAAGGCTTCTTTCAAAAACAACTTAAAGGGTCATGAAACCCCAGACTACTTTTTCTGAGATTTTAGCAGAGGTGTTTGTGTTGCACATCATAGAAGACAATGTTAGCATCCGCTAATTTTAACTGTTGGAGAAAATTGGTTAATTTTAAGCTTTTTTGCACTATTTTCATCTTCTGGGTTTAAAATCTACATTGTGCTGACGTCACAATTTGTGACGTGGCAAAGGACGATAGTACATCGTTGACTCATGAGACTGCAGTGAGATTGCGCACATTAACTGAGAGAAACGTTCATGGATCAAAGAAGAGTGTTTGTTTTTGCTTTTTAATAGGAGTTCGGCACAAACGCGATTCATTCACGTGGTGAGCATAACCCTTTTTACAGCTCCGTGACACAACCCGTCAAAAGGCTTATATAAACGCCGCAGAATAAGCCTTAAAAAGTTATCAGAGGTGCAAAAGCGCGTTCATATATATGTTTTCGATGGAGAGTGTAAATGGCTGTGCATTTATTTGTGTTTTTAACTGGATGGGAGCGAAATGAAACTGTCTGAACGCGAAGCCATGTGTGTTCTGTCTCCCCTCTTCCCCTTCCACTCTGCAGCACACCACGCCCACTTTTTTAGCATTTTTTAAAACTGTGGTGAGAACTAACCAGTGCTGAAACAGGGGGTTTCATGACCCTTTAAGGTCTGATCAGACTGTTTATAAATGAGGGCAAACAGTTTCTAACATAACTGTGTAGTGCTGTGTGCTCAGTTTAGGGGTGTGCGATATATATCGTCTGCGATAATATCGTAATTGGTATGAACTGACCACCACACAGAATATGAAGAATATTAAAAACATTAGGAGTCAGCTGTCTTCGGCAGTCCTTAAGGTACCAGCACAATAACACACTCAGCAAAATATCGTCTAATTATCGTTATCGATAAAATCCCATAAAATATCGAGATATAATTTTTTGGCAATATCGCACACCCCTAGCTCAGTTATCAAAACTCATCATGAACAGAAATGCACACAAAGTCTGATTAAGTCACAAAATGTTATAAAACTCTCCTGTTTATTGAAACTTGTAGAGCTGAATTTTTGTCTCATGAGCTGAACTTCACGTGCACTTTGTGTGTCTACCCTCTTCTATCCGACTGTGTTGTCACAACAGTAGGTTATAGTTCACAAAAATCCAGAATAAGCCATTCAATCTGAATAAGGCAATTATTGCCATGTTTGAATGTTTGATCAATGTTTGATTCCTGGACTTTTCAAATGAACAGAGAGCTGAAAAGAACATGTACACCAAGCATATATAAATGTAGCTGCTTCATTATCACAGAACAGGTCTTACCAGTAGGGCGTCCCAATGAAGGATTTCCTTTTCGCCATGGTGGCCGTTATTTTAGCAGCCACTCCAAAGTCCGCTGCAAAACAGGAAGATTTTTTTTAACATTCAAATTCAGTACCACACAAAAACACACCCTGCAATTATAGCGTGACCCTCTCACCTAATTTGACATCTCCATTGTCGGTGAGCAGAATATTCGCCCCCTATTGCACAATGAGTTGAGAGTTATTAACTGGCATGAGAAAGATAGTTTGAAACAGGTAGAACGCCAATATAATTACATAACAATATAAGTAACACATATACTAATTATGAAGCTGTATTACCTTGATGTCTCTGTGCATCTTGCCTTTGGAGTGCAGATAAGCGAGACCCTAAACACACACACACACACTCAAATTAATTCAAGATGTTTAAAGGCTTAATTTAATAATACAAAAATTCTTAACAGCATTAGACCATGTGAAGGATGTGAACAATGTTGGAAGGATCTTACCTGTAACGTCTCTCTGCACACATAGGCGATCTGAAGTTCAGAGAGCGGACCTGTAACTGAACATGTACACAAACACACACATATTTAGAAAAATAATGAAAAAATAATTCATATATAAAAAAATGGAGGATGTATATTTTCAAAACACACAACCAGTTTACCATGATAAATGTCTTGTAAGGAACCTCCACCGCAGTATTCCATACAAATCCACAACTTCTCACGGCTAGAATGAAACAAAGAATCATAAATCTTTAAGATTAAATGTGGGGCATTTAAATAAATCTTTAATCTTTTGAATATCTGAAAACTTATGTTTTATAATCTCAATAAAATGTAGGCATCTAAAATACTTCATTTATAGACAAATCCAGTTATTTGTTACCAGAGGTAGCTGCCAAAGTAAGCCACAATGTTGTGATGGGTGCATTCCTTCACCATAAAAATCTCTTGCTGGATGATTGAGAAATCATCACCTTAAAGAGAGAGGAATCAATATATGAGAGCAGTATAAATTAAACAGTGAAAAGAAAAACAGAGTGCTCGAATCAGATATGGACAGCAGATGGCTGGATGTTGAGTGCTGAGAGTGATTATTATCATCATGAAATGAGGGAGAACTCGTGTCAATTTTCATTTATTTCTCCTGAGCTGATTTTTGTGATTTAGTTACCACACACAAAAAAGACTTCCATTCACTCACTCACTCTTTGATCTCTTCACCCTCCTCATCTCTAATGCTAAATAAAGCCTGTGAGTGTGATGGGTTTCCCCTCGTCTTTCAATAATACAGATAATTAGCTTAACTTCCTTCTGAACCCGTGTTAATACCAACACACATCATGACAACACTCGGGTCTCTTCACGAATTAATCTAAAACTGTCATTTATGACTAGCTTATTTGCCTGATGTGTCATTATTCCTATTATTATTATTTGTTTCGGATTGAGTTGAACTGGAGTTTGTGGATTTATTTTTAGTATGAACACTAAAACACTTACTTATTATTAAACACTTATTATAACACTTACTGCTTTGTATATAATTCCTGAGAAAAAAAGAAACAATACACTAAAGAAGGCATACAGTACATACACACCTTATTTGTTCCACCACAGTTCCACCAAGTAAATGTTTATGTGATTTAAACATTTTAAATAAAAACTTGGTCTCTAAAATCTAAAATCTCAAGTCAAATACTTCAATGTATCATGATGTGAAATATAAAAGAAGAATAAAGATGCTATCAGCCAAACTCGCACACCTCAAACTTCACAACCTGCTTCGTTAAAGGAGTGACTCGCACACCTTTATGTTTTAAACAGCTTTCATTCATCTTGTGACTCAAAGACCTGGCATTTTTGCCCAAGCACGTGATCTGTTTATGACTTAATGGCTGTGATACAGTAAATACTGCATTGTTTCCTGTAGGTGGTGCTGTTTCCTGTACATTTGAGAATTGTTCATCCTGATGCTCTCAGAATCTCTTAATCTGTTCATGACAGCAGAAAATCTCATCACTCATGATGATAGCATACTTTTTTATAGATAAAAAAAGAAAATACAAATATGATGGAGAAATGTGTCTTCCCTTAAAATATAAAACAAAGTGAAATATGAATAACTAGATTTTTAAGTAAGATCATTACATTGTAAAAACTGCTTTTAAATACGAAGACAGAGGTAGTGTAGTTTCCAAAAACAGCCTTTCGATAGATTGTATAACCTCAACCCAATAATGGATGTTAACTGGCTGTAGCCACTTCTCTATTCTGCTGCAGACCTTTAACTTAGAAACTCGCACACAAAACACAACCACCTCCGTTTCACACGACTCTATGATGAGATACCAAAAAAATAACATCGCGGTCAGAACAATAATGACTGGAAGGAACAATCAGTCACACTGCATTTTAACACCTCATTCCCAGGACATCTGTAGCATCACAGTGTATGTATGTGTGACAAACAAGAATCAGCATAGCTATGAAGTCAAGCCTAACAGCTCTGACCACTTCCTCTCCGCTCAAGACAAACAGGTCATGCCCAAGAGAGTGCGTCTGTGAGATAATGTGAGCCTGTGTGTGTGTCGAAGACAGCAGCAGGGCCTGAGGGTTGATCTGCTGAAAGCTGAACTCAGGCAGCTTCCTCTGAGCTTGATGCACTTCTCAGAAATCAAGCCGTTAGTATTTACTAGTAGTGTCAGTTGTAATAAATCAAGCTATCCATATACCCGTCCCCTTTTGCTACAATCACCCAGCTCCTCGATCATTTGGATTAGAATTCCCACATGCGCTAAACTAATTACAGATTGGAGGATACGCCACTCTATAAGATTACCACTGTAACTCATCATCATTATACAACCATTTAAATTGACGTGTTGGAAATTCTTTACAAATATCACAAATGTCCTGAATTCACACAGTAATGCAGATTTTGAAATTAACATTAATTTTAAAATATTTTTAAGAAATAGTTCACCTAAAAACAGGGCTCCAGACTCACTCTTCCCACTGGTCGTTCTTTTGCGACTAACTTTCTCAGTTGGTCGCACAAGCACATGATTTAGTCGCAATTTTATTTTATTTTTTTGCTACAACATGGGATAAATCAATGCATGCTGATGAACTTATTATAGTTTATATGGAAACGAAAGTGGTTAACATTCAACCTGTTCTTTTTCTTCAGTATTTGTGATTTGAATTTTGTAAACAGGAGTTCCTCTTTTGCTGTGTTATAAGCCGGGCTTGGGATGCTTTCACTTTTGAATTCGCGATCTTGTCACGTTTTACAAGAAAAGATATTTGTCTGATTTGCTTACATATATCCAGTGGCGGACTGGCCATCTGGAGCACCGGGAGTTTTCCCGGTGGGCCGCTGTACAATGTGGGCCGACCCATTGCGTAAATATAAAGAATGAATTATAGCAAATATACGTAGCCTATAGCCTTCCATCGGCCCATACGAATGCCCATCAAACATTCTAATTAATTTAGCGTGCTCCGGCTCACGCAGCGGCTCAAAAGCGCTCATCAATGTCAAAATGTTGGAAATAGCCAATCAAATCGAAGAAGGCGGGATTTACCGTTCACAGATAGGGTTGGGTACCGAAACCCGTATGTACTAGAACCGAATCAGAACGCAGATTTCGGTGCCACTTAAATGCTTGAGCGATCGATTGAAATATTTGTTCTCTGGTTCTCCTAAACGGACGTAAGGATCACTGGCACCGCATGTGAAAATTAATTTCCCCACTGAGAAAATTCGGAAAGCTCTAATAATACAAATCCAACACATCTTTATAGTAACGCGAATGTCCATGTTGTTTTCACATTCCGACTTTAAAGCACAACTCGGGAAATGAGAGCATCCGAGGAGCACGTGAATGCAGCAACAATCACACTTGCTCTGATGGCAGCAGGTAGATACCGTTAGCTATCTAAGCTAAACATTCTTAAATTAAAATGCCAAAAGCTATGCCTGTCCATATTAGGGATTTCCTGAGTTCTATTCCCTCTGTTATGCATATGTGGAGTTTCTGCACGAGGGCGCCCTCTGGCGTCCAGTATGAATGAAACAGACATTAAATGTGTTTATAGCGCTCAATAATGGCCAATCCATCCTATTTTGGGTCATTTTATTTTATTTTTATTTTTTAAAATATCGGTTCAGGATTCGTTTAGGCACCGGTACCGTTTTAAAAGTATCGATTTGGCACCGGTATCGGAAAAAACCCAAACGATACCTAACCCTATTCACAGATGCTGAGCTGCATGGAATTTGAATGCGAGCTGAGGTAAGATGTAAGCAGCTGAATAGCGAGACGCTTCAGCAATATTTGCCAACTGTTTACGATTAAAAAAAAAAAGTTAAATGACAGACATTATCGCCACAGCCATATCACCCTGCAGTCCAAGACTGGTTGCCCACTGAAGCTAAGCAGGGTTGAGCCTGGTCATTACCTGGATGGGAGACCTCCTGGGAAAAACTAGGTTGGTGTTGGAAGAGGTGCTAGTGAGGCCAGCAGGGGGTGCTCACCCTGTAGTCTGTCCTCTCCACCTGTAGCTGGTGTGTGGTGAGCGCACTGGCGCCGTTGTCCTGTGGCTGCCGTCGCATCATCCAGGTGGATGCTGCACACTGGTGGTGGTTGAGGAGTGGTTATAATCACGATTAGAAATTCGATTAATTGTGCAGCCCTAGGTCATATACACAAGGAAAGATAAATTAAATGTAAAGAAGTATGCCAGTCATTCATTAATGATATACGAATTTCAATTAAAAAAAAATAGATGCCATTTTTATTTCTGTATTGTGTTATATTTTTGTGTTAAAAAATGCTCTTTGCATAATGAGCTGGTGGGTTTTTGTGGATCGTGTGTAGTGGGCCGTTCTGTGCCAGAATGTCCAGGGCCACTTTTTAGCCCCAGTCCACCCCTGCATACATCTATACATATTTAACTTTTTAAGACTAAAACAAAAGATGGATTCTTTGTTATTCTTAATTAAAAAGTACAACAACAATAAAACAGTAAGATACAATGACAAACTAGCTTACAAAAAGTTTATTAACAAAAACAAATAAGACGAGGCATGGCATGGCATAGGCCTACACCACATGCTGTATTATATACCGACTAATAAATTACAGAACGTTTAGCAAACACTGAGGAATCAAATACAAAAATAATGCTTCTATAGCATAACGTGAGGTAAACAGCAAAGATAACAAGCTTTTCAAAATGAAAACAAAAAGAAAAGTAAAACTAAACTTGCTGTCGGTGACCGTGCTTGCATGTTTTTTTTTCCCACAAGAATACCATCATGTTCACCCTCTCTGGTTTAAGAAGCGGTCTTTTACTTTAGCATGAAAACCATCCATCGTTTCCTCAATATTCGCGTCCTTTTTGCTGTGCGCACCTTCGCGCTCGTGCTGACAGGCTCTACACAGCACTACGCAATTCAAATGAGTAGCGCGGTTTCATTATGCTAGGGCTGTGCAAAAAATCGAATGCGATTTTCATGCGCATCTCGTCAGTAAAGCCGCTTCTGGTGATTAGTAGTAAATCTCCAGCACGTGCTTTCAGATTCAGATTCGCATGAAAATCGCATTAGATTTTTTTGCCCAGCCCTACGTTATGCTTTCAGTTTCGTTTGCCGTTTGATGTTTCTCATATGCAACAGAAATGGCAGCGCTTATGAGTTGAACAACGCGGTGGTCGCGTCAGTGCGACCGCTCACAAAATTTAGTCGCAGTCTGGAGCCCTGTAAAAATTTGAATTCTGACATAGTCTACATCACTACTTCTTTAAAAAAAACTACTGTTCAAAGGTTTTGGGTCAGTAAGACTTTCTACGCAGCCCTTTAATTTCAATGCAGAATTGCAGTTACTGCACATAGTTTTACTCATTCCTGCAGGTTCTGTGCTTATAATGCAGGAATTTCCCACAAACACATGGAATTTACCATTTGTGC